TGGGATTATAGGCTTGAGCCATCGCGCCCGGCCTAAAAATTTACTCTTATACCTGAAACCTGTTTTAGGTTATCAACTCTTCATAAACATTTTAATAGTGGCATACCATTCCTTTGGGTAAAGAGATCAATATCTTCTCTTTGAACATTTAAGTTATTCTCATCTTTTGTTACATACAGTAAGTATCTCTGCAGTGGACATATTTGCCCCTTGACTTTTTTTTTTCTTTATTTTGAGTAATTTTCTTAGGATGCATCCTAAAACTGGAATGACTGGATCAAAGCACATGAGTGCTTTGATGCCTTTCCAGTTCTTAATACATACTGTAAAAATAACATTATCCTTCATTTTTCCTTTTTATTCCATCCTCAGTCATGTGCTGCCTGCAAAAGCCCTGAGCTGACTTCAAACCTCTTCAACATTTATGGGAAGAGCCCTCTGATTGTGTACTTTCTCCAGAACTACGTCGGTCTGCAGCAGCACGGCAAGAATGTGTTGATAGTCAGAAGGGAAAAGACCATGAGCACCCCATATCCTTGTCACTGTGGTCAGGGTGCACACTGCTCCAGGCCCCCATGTCCTCTTCCCGGAAGCAAAGGTCAGGGAATGGCACCCAGGCCTCAGCACAGCGCCTGGCACACCATGTGTACTCGCCAGAGGTGGCCAGTGGTACGAGCCTCAGGGTCAGAATCGTGCTCATCTTAGTTCCAAATCTAGAGCCAGCCTTGTGAACTGGCCGTGAGACCCTGGGGTGTGTCAAATTTCCTTGTGTGCAAAATCTCTTTCCACCTACCAGAATGAATGTGCTAACTCGGTATTCTAACATACGTTGAAACCAAGTAATGCTTCCCCGACACTCGTTGACCCCAGAGTATGTACTGACCAGGAATTTTGTTGTCCACATGTATGTTTCATCTAACACCTTCCTCAGACACACTCCTGCCTTAGACCCATCAGCAAATCCCTGACCCTGTTGCCATTTATCCTAAAGATCGAATAGAAAGCTCAGATCTCAAGAAAACAGGTGTGGTTGGCCAGGTGTGGTGGCTCATGCCTGTAATTCCAGCACTGTGAGAGCCAAGATGAGCGGATCATCTGAGGTAAGGAGTTCGAGACCAGCCTGGTTAACACGATGAAACCCTGTCTCTAGTAAAAATAAAAAAAAAAATTAGCTGGGCCTGGTGGTGCATGCCTATAATCCCAGCTACTTGGGAGGCTGAGGCAGGAGAATCGCTTGAACCCAGGAGGCAGAGGTTGCAGTGACCTGAGATTGCGCCATTGCACTCCAGCCTGGGCAGCAAGAGCGAAACTCCATCTCAAAAAAAAAGAAAAGAAAAAAGAAAATAAGTGTGGCATATGTTGGCGTCCTGAGTCTTAGCAGCTTACCATAGGAGTCAGAGAACACGGGTTCTATTTGCAATCAAACTGGTCTATTGGTTCAAATAGACCTGGACTCAGGAACCAACTCTCCTGCAAACTGAGTGATTTGAGATAAGTTCCAGCTTCTCTCTGTGCGTCATTTTTTTCACCTGTAAAATAGGGATAAGAGTACCTGCCTCATAGGGCTATTATGCAGATTACAGACACAACAGAGATAAAGGCTAGTGCCTGGCAGATAACAGGGGCTGAGATGATCCACGTCTACATTGAGCTCCCCAACAGGAGGAGTTTCATAATGAACTAGGGAGAACTTTGCATCGTCTGCTGCATAGAACTCCATGTCCACAAACTTACTTACATGTTCTATAGGGAGAGAGTAGTAACAAAAACTCACATTTTATAGTGTTTTACTTCTTGCAACATGTTTTCCCAAACATCACTTCATTGTTCTCTAAAGACAGTTTAGTGTAGTGGAAGGAATCTGGGTTGGGATACACAGCCTTAGATTTGAGTCCCAGTTTAGCAACCACTGGCTTTAAGGTCTTATGTGCACAGCTCGACCTCCAAGCTCAATATCTTTATCTATTCATTCCTAAAATTTGGATAGTTATACCAAACTTGTAGTGTTGTGATGAGGATTAAATGGCATACAGCTGATACTACATGAATAACTACCACGATTATGATTCACATCATCTAAAGTGGGCATTATTATCTCTGTTTTACAGATATGGAAATGGAGGCACAGAGGATGACTGCTATCTTGTCTGAGGTCCCACAGCTTGTGGCAAGTGTAGCTGAGATTCTAATCAATCAAGAAGGGGTGGAAGGAGGGCAGAGCAGAGGGAGAATTTTTTTTTTTTTTTTGAGACAGAGTCTCGCTCTGTTGCCCAGGCTGGAGTGCAGTGGGGCAATTTCGGCTCAC